AAATTAAACCTACTGAATATTTACCGCCCATTCATCCGTGGTGCATCCGCTCAGCGAGATCTAGCCTCTAGTTTTGATAAGAATCTGACCACAGAGCCGAGAAAAAGGTGAAGTAGAGGCTCATCTTCTGATGACTGAAGCTCCATCTGAAGTCAAAGCCCCAGTTTGTAGGATCAGGCGAGTGGAATTTGTTTAACCTCTACCCTTTGATCTTCCAAGAATGGTTGGATCTTCAGCTGAACAAAACCATTCCGTTACTCGCAGATAAGCTTAAAGCTTCGATTCATTGGTCACCGGGACCGATCACAAACTCGCCCAACTTCTCACGTATTGTCTAATCCGAGATTAGAAATCTGCGATGCAATGGAGTAGCCAAATAATGAGATCACAATGGACGTTCAATGATTTTTTCAGATCATGAAATATGATGGTCAATGACAGTCAAGTAAACAGGAGTGGCTGTTGATTCAAATAACACAAAAGACCTTACCCAAATTGCCCACAAAACAGCACACAAACAATGATGAATCACTGAAGTGAGCATATGCATCGAAAAAGCCCAACATCACACGTTCAGTAACGACGCACTCACACTGTGCGCGCCCTTCTCAGCTTTTGCTAAATAAAGCCGATGACCATTAAATCCCGGGTACTCATGGGTCAATCAGTACAACCATTCCTGTGAATTTTAGAACGGGTCTGGGAACATCTTCATCTGTGACTCGATGACGCACCGACTTCCAACATGGATAGACTGTAAAATTCGTTAGTGGTGATTGAAACCTGTGGAGAACCATGAAACTCGGAATAATGAAATGATTAAATTCCCTATATAATTTGCATGGCAGTTTATTTTTGGCTTTAATCCCGTTCTTACACCAGAATACATAAATATTGATATTCAACGGAACTACATCAGGTCAGGAAGTGAGAAGCAAAATATAAAAGTGGGATGAAAAATAGGCAATAGAATGACACACAACCAACCTGATTCTCATCCGTCTGCAGCACGTTTTGTTTGGATCGTACGCTTTTTGGCCGAACTTTGCCGCATGTCTAAAAAATGAAAATGACCACAGAAAGAAGCCATACCCGTCTGGTTCGAGACCTTTCCACTGACAGCGACTGTACTGATGAAGCCCCAGTAATTGTAATGGATCTGTCAGGCGACTTTGTCACTGCGATCTAAGACACGTGAAACATAATTATGCTTTATGTAGTTATACCTTGACCTGAACACTTGTAGGAAAACGTAGACCACAAATACACTTTTACAACTTCTTTCGATGTAGACTTAGGGTTACACAAAAAATCAGACCGGTCTCATGCAAAACGTAACTGAAGCTAAAAGCAACACAAATAGCTTAAAAACTGCAAGAAATGCAGTTTGCATACAACATGCATCAAAACGGTACCGCACAGAAACATCTTAGAAACCAAATATTCACTACATGTAAACATCATCATCACCGTACAGCGAAATACAATGAAGCGAGCTTCACTGACTGCTGCCAAACTAGCAATGCATACAAGGTTAGTGGTAAAATTTAAGGTGGAAAGGGATTGGAACTATTTTAAGGGAGAGAGAAAAAGATGAGTCACTATCGTCAACACATAGAGTACGCAATCGAACTCTGCATACATACCGTTTCAAGCATTCTGACCTAATAAGAAACGACAACAAGAACGCCACTGCTGCCGATTCGCTGCCATATCCTTCAATGTCTCCAACCAACCAGTTGTAGAGCCTTTCGGACCCCAACCTGGAAGGCGAGAGACACCTACTCTACCTAATGGCCCTGGGCATTTCTTCATGCCTCGTCTCCACGTCATCTGTTGACCTCCATGTGGTTTCCTCCAGCCCGGATTAGCTACAGTGAATAAAGCGCGGTGCGGCAGACGATGGCTGGGCATACGCAATACGTGCCCTAGCCCCCGAAGCCTAGTAATCTGAATTCAGGATACTAGCAGGTTTATACCTGAGAGACTCTCAAACACGACGGCTTACCTCCACGTTACTAACCCGTTCGCTCCATCCAACATGAGCTAAACTACGTAAACACCGATAATCAAAAACTTCTAGTCGACGGATATCTTCTACTCGCAAATTCAGGGTCTCACAACCATAAAGCAGAACTGAACGAACGCTAGCACAATATACACGACCTTTCAACTTCAGTGAAACGTCGCGTCTACGCCAAAGGTGTTTCAATCCTGCGTATGTCGCTCGAGCCTTGGAAATGCGGGCGGTTATCTCCTTTGCTGCACTACCATCATTAGTGACGCAACTAACTTAGTAGGAAAAGTAATCCACCACAACTACATCCTGGCCATTTATTGTCAGAGTGGGAGTAGAAGAAACCCAGTCCTGCAGCAGCACTTGGCACTTTGAAGGTGCAAAGCACATACCGAATGTGGCCACTGCACTTGCTAATCTATCAAGTGCACTTTGCACGTCCTCCATACATTCGAACAGACAGACAATATCATCGGCGTACTCCAAATCGCATAGCTTTTCTCCAGCTGTCCATTCAATACCTACGTTTTGGAGTCCCCTTAGTGCGCTCTCCAGTATTTCGTCTACGACGAAATTGAACAGGAACGGCGAAAGAAGGCACCCTTGATGAACGCCGCTGCTGGTGACGATTAGCCTACTTGGTTCGTTGTAGACCCTTACACGACCGGAGGTATGTGAGTACAGCGACCTCAGTAGGTTAACGTACTTCTGGGGCATTCGTTTTCGAAGAAGGCAGCCTATCAGAGCTTCGCGGTCAACTCAGTCGAAGGCTCCTTTCGGGTCAAGGAACACAACGATCGTTGGCCGACGGTGAGTTTGACGCAGCTCAAGGATCAGACGCAACGTAAAAGTCTAATCAATACACCCACGGTCAGACCGGAATCCGGCTTGCTGTTCACGGATGTTGGTCTCTCTTAAAGGCGTCAGACGTCGAAGTATGACCGAAGCTGGCGGTGGTTTTCGCAATCGTTGCGAGATCCTTTCTTGAAAATAAGAACGATCAGTGATTCGCCCCAAGATGAAGGAATGTGCTCTTGCATCCAAATGTTGCGCAGTACCGTAGTAATAGAGGTTAAGAGGTAATCACCTCCCATCTTGAAGAGAGTGGGAGGGAGCTCATCAGGTCCTGCTGCCTTTCCTCGCTTCAGAGATTGAATGCAAGACCGAACTTGTGCTTCCGTTGGAGGATCGCATGACACTGCCCAAGGATCTTCAGTCGGAGATGAAGTAGCCTGGTTAGCACTAGGCCAGCTGAACTGTTCGTTAAAGTATTCTGCTCAGCGATCGAGGCGTTCCCATTTCACTAGCTATTGTCGCCCACCAGTTCTCACGGTCCTTGAAACTCTTCGTGAGCCGACGTTGTAGCTGCCGCCTANATTCTGATCCTGGCAGATCGGGACTTGCCGTTTTTGCTCTATCAGTACTACTGACTCCTGAGATATCCAATGATTCTGATGGGAATGAGGCTCAAACCCACAAGCAACATTCGCTGCGGAATGCACTGCTCGCCTAATCTGATCCCACTTCTCGTCTACATCACCACGCTGAAGCGCACTTAGCTATCGCACTAGCTCTGACTCATAGCGTGCACGAACGGCTGGAGCAGATAGTTGTTGATGAGCTATCCGAACTTGCTGGTTTTGTCGCCGATCAGTCAGTCGGAGATCCCTGTCGATACCAACACAGCTGAAACATAGAGCACTTCGACCTTTTATCACTCTAGTGTGATAAACAGAAGGCACAAACCCCATTATCAAGTCAGATCTTTAGTTATGGGAATCGGTGCCCCAATCCCCTGAAAATCAGGTAACTATATAAAGCCCCAAACCAAACGGGAAGATATATCAAAGGAGAGTAGGAAATCGTCAGATATCGACGACTTAATACTTGATTACAACAGAACAGGTAGCCCTTAAAACAATGGGACGTCAAAGTAACTATCAGGAACGATAATGATATTTCAAATACACACTATCTGCTTCTGTCAGGTGCAAACTCATACACATCCAACGAGTGCTTACCATTATACGCTTGTCTCATAATGGATGATCGACAGTGCAAATCGGCCGAATGAATTGAAATTTGAACATGGGCCTAAAAGGTCGTTTGTCTCAAGTCTTATGTTTTTACGAAATATTCTATAAAGACGGTCAAGTCACGTTCGCTGCGGTTAGTAGCATCCAAACCACTTAAAAAAATATGGAATCATAGTATTGATTCCTTAATGGATTGGCTTTGAAAAAGTTGTGCCCTGAGAATTATCCGGTGTTGTAAATGAGGTTATTGTGACGAAAATACACTTCCCGTACACAATTATATAAATGAACTGAAAAAAGATTACCGGAAACGCATGTTTGACGAGCGGTAAGAACCGCAAAATCGATCGTGTGCTTCCCGGGAAATTTTTCGGGTTATTTATACTACCTATTACGATATATATTTTGTATTGTATTGTAATAACTTCTGCAAGCATGAAGCCCACATTTCAGCATCTTAGGCCACTCCCCATGAGTTGAAGAGAACACAACAGAAAGGGGAAAATTGCGTGTTATAGGCTGAAATTATTGGGAGCACGACAGCTGATGAACAATACTTCTTGTATTAGCTCGATAGGACTTAAAACTCGTAACAGTGATTTATAAATAAAACTGGATGTGATGGGTATTCAATACTAACCTGAGATTCACTAACGACATCCTCCTTCCGCTCTATTAGATTTTCCGGTTTTGTTTTCGTCACCGTCGGTTCGCAAGCCAGGGGTGACCAATTAATGGTAGACTGTTTAGATAGATCGATTTGCTTACGCACTCCTCGAGACTGCATCTCTGGTAAAGCGAAGGCGAATAAAAACTATCGTACCTTCGCAGCAGGTTTGGTAACAGTGCGCTTTGTGCGAACAGTGGGCGTAGAGGAAGTCAATACAAGCTTCACAGGTTCATCCACGTGGGCTGAATCTTGAGGGCTTGTGCTAACTAAATCCGTCGTCAAGTGGGCAAATCTTGTGTACGCAGGCTTCTTGGGTGCCGGCGGAGGCTCCTGATGTGTAAAATGTTGTTGACAAAGGAGTACGCACCAAAATTGTATCATCTATTAACCGCTTTTGCTTTGAGACATTTTTGGCGGTCCGACTAACTGGAAAAAAGTTTCCTATTTTCCCTGCCATAGGCTGGCTTTGATTAACGGCAGGCTGCAATAATAGGGAATAATAAGCTTAGAGTACCAAGCTTGGATAATGAAAGTAAATAGATTCAAATTAAAATCCAATTAGGTGAAACAAAATGCGATGGAAAAATATTTTATGGGGTTCAGACCCGCTTAATGCTCGCCAGTAAACACCGGCCGGTAGTGACAATAACGAAACACGGCCCGTGATGAGACATAGGTAGTAAGCATGCTTAACCAAGGATTTCGAAATTTCGTGGTTTAAACAAGCATAATCATCATCATTATACAGCGTAATACAGTGAAGCGAACTTTGCTGATCGCTATCAAACTCATATTGCATACAAGGTAAATGAGAATGTGTACGAAGGGTAGGAATTGTAGTTAATTTTAGGGACGGGAAAAGAAAGTGCACCTCTGTGGTCAACACAACTCAACTGTGCGTACATACTATTTCAAGCATTCTGGCCCGATAAGAAGTGACATCATCGCCGTCGGTTAGCAGCCATGACCTTCAATGTCTCCAACCAAGCGATTTCGGAGTCCTTTGAACCCCATCCCGGAAGACGAGAGACACCTACTCTAACTAATCGCTCTGTGCATTTCTTCATGTCTCGTCTCCACGTCATTTGCTGGCCTCCATATGGCTTTCTCCAGCCTGCAACAGCCATTGCGAATAAGACGCGCTGTGGCAGGCGACCGTCGGACATAAGCACAACCAACGGAGCCTTTTGAGCTGGATTCGATGCGATGGCGAGTTCTTCTTCGACGCATTCCCACCCCGACGACTTATTTCTAGGTTACTAACTTGCTCATTTCATCCCACTTGGGCCAAACTAAGTAAGCATCGATTATCGAATACCACCAGGCGACGGATGTCTTCTACCCGCAAATACAAGGTCTCACAACCGCAAACCAGAAGTGATCGTACAATGGCACAGTATGCGCGACTTTTCAACTTCGATGAAACATCATGTCTTCGCTACAGGTGTTTCAGCCCTGCGTACGCTGCTCGAGCCTTGGAAATGCGGGCGGCTACCTCTTTTAATGCACTACCGTCGTTGGTCACAACTGCCCAAGTAGGAGAAGCAGTCAACTTCAGCTAATTCCTGACAGTCTAGTTTCAGAACAGAACTCGGTCTTGTAACATCACTTTGCACTCTGAAGATGCAAAGCACATACCGAACGGATCCATAGAACTTGCTAATCGGTCCAGTGCTCTTTACGAATACTCCATAGATTAGAACAGGCATACAATGTCGTCAACGTACTCAAAATCACACAGCTTTTCTCCAGCAGCCCATTTAATACCAACATTTTGGAGACCACTTGGAGCGCTCTCTAGTATTTCGTCTACGACGAAATTGAACAGGAACGGCCAAAGAGGGGACCATTGACGAACACCACTGCTAGTTAAGAACGACATACTTAGCTCGCCGTAGACTCTTACGCTACCAGAAGTATGCCGGTGGAGTGAACTCAGTATGTTTATGCACTTCTGCGGCATTCCTAGGCGAAGGAGAGAACCCATAAGGGGTTCACGATCAACTGAGTCGAACATTCCTTTTAGGCCAAGGAACACGACAACCGCTGGTCGACGATGTGTATGGCGTAGCTCGAGGACTTGAAGATTTTATCGATACAACCTCGACCTGGACGAAATCGTGCTTGTTTAACCCGGACATTCTCTCTCTAAACGTTGTCGGACGTCGAAGTATGATGGAGGCTAGCAACATGGTGACGCTTGGAATCAAACTTATTCCACGGTGATTTGCGCAGTCGTTGCGAGATCTCTTCTCAAAGATCGGAACGATCAGTGATTCGCTCCAGGATGGTGAAAGGCGCTAGTGTGACCAGATATCACGAATTATATCAGCAATGGAGTCTACGAGGTCATCGCCCCCATCTCGAAAAGAGTGGGACGAAGCCCATCCGGTCCTGTTGCTTTTCCTTTCTTTGGGGCTTGGACGCAAGAAAGAACTTCTGCTGCGGCAGGAGGTTCAGGTGACACTGCCCACGGAGCCTGTTACACTAGAGGAGATAGCCTGATTAGCACCTGGTTAGCTGAACTGTTCGTTGAAGTACTCCGCCCGACGGTCAAGCCGTTGTTCCCTAT